ATATTTGTGAAGATTACAATTTTTTCTTAGTTGTAAGAACTATGTATATGAGAACAAAATAATTTTAAAAGTTCTCATCTTATTTGTTTTTGTTGTAGGGTTTAATACCATTTTTCAGCACAAGATAGGCTATACATGGCAGCCAGTAATAATGGTGGAAGAAGAACCCTGGAAAACCCTGAGAAAAACCACTGACCCACAAGAAGCTACTGGCAGGCTTTCTCACTTACCCACATTAGCTGAGTCTAGACTCGAACTCATGAAGACAGAGGTGAGATGGCAGTGATCCGTAACGGTCAGTGCTTTGGACCACTTGGCCACTCAGGGCTCCTCATCTTATGAGAGGTTAATATGTGAATAGAGATTTGTATATAAAATATCAAAATTCATATTTGTGAATTCAGGCTCTCTGTAACTCTTTCTAATATACCACTTTATTCTCCTTTTTGTGTAAATATTGCCCATTGTTTTGACTACATGTATATAGATACTAGTATTAAATAAACTGTGATATTTTAATTATGACATATTGTAAGCTGTGTTTATTTTTGGTATTCTGCTTTACCTGTATATACATGTAAATACTTGTGTTATTGTATTATAAATAAACTTTTCATGTTTTCCTTCAGAAGATTGTGTGATAGATAATTTATATATACGTGCTGGGAAGTCATATCTGACTGCAAATTGCATATATTCAGATCTATTGGCAAATACTGCACCAACACCTCTGGGTCTATGCAGTTTGTGAAGATTAATATGTTGGATAAGCAACATAAACCGTGATCTTCTGGCACATTATATGACAGCAAACCAGGATAAGGTTTGTTCAAAAATTGGACCTTACTTATAGGTGAATATATGCATGAGTGAAAAATTAAGTTATTTTGAAGAAGTAAATAAGACTACTGTAAACTGCATCAAAAGAATGCATTGGAGTAGATTAAGCAATATGGAAAATCCTGTATAAAATGGTCATTGTTGTCAGTTATTGTAGGTAATTTTATGTAAATTATTTTTGGTAAAACTGAAAAAATGTTTGCTTTCATTATTCACCCTTATATCAGTGAAAATGTCAAAATAATGACCCAAAACCAGTCATCCCTATATTACTGTATAGAAAATGACTCTAGATTACTTGTAAAGAATGCACTAATATTAACTGTAATTTCCATTATGCTTAAATTAATTTATCTGTTCTAATAACTCAGCTCTCATGCTGTGTAGGTTTATAACTATTTTCTTTATATTGGTCACGTATTATTTTAAAAAATTCTAAATATATACCTACTTGATGGAGATGATCTAGACTTTAATTGCACTATTTCATAAGAAAACTAGCAACAAAAAGAGAAGTTCTTGAAAACTTATAGTAAATTAGATGTTTCCAAAATATTAACCACTGAATTCAGTTTTTCAGTCATCTTATGATGAGTCACAGGGGCATGACTTTTAAATTTATTGGGATTATCACTGGACAACACTTTTCTAAATGAACAATTTCCTTGAGTGGATGATGGGGGATTGTAGGGCTGATTGGGAAGTCCATTCAGCATATTTCTGCTGCAACTCGTAGTCTCTTTTTTGTGTGGAGAGCCTACCAAACAATGGAGAGACCTACTTCCCACCAGCCTCTGAGGCCCTTACGGCATAGGAAATATGAATAGACCAGTACTTAAAGAGAAACTCTCAATTAGATATATCATCTGACTGAAAATACACCCTAAGTAACAATGATGGGACACAACAAGTGTCGGTAGTTAAAATTAGTTCACTCAATACCTTATGCTTTAATGTCATCTTTCTAGTACCCCTCTTCCCAACATGGGAAATTTCACAGGACAGCAGCACCTCCCAAAAACCTTGTTTGGTTTGTTTGCAAATGTTTTGACTCTGCCCTAGTAGTTCAAATTTAGTCCCCAGATCACCTTGGGTACAATCCAGGCACAACCCTTGCAAGACCAGTGGCAGGCACTGGCAATGGCACTCAACTGCAAATTAGACAAAAAGTATCTTTGTGGAGCCCCCAAACAATACAAGGAGCTGAGCATCATTGTACACAAGAAAAGAGTACTTCCTTTCTGGATCTATGCTTTCTGTTTTGTCAGCCTGGCACTCTATGCAGTGGTCCCTGACAAGAGACAGGGGCGTGTATGCAGTCATCTATACACTCGGCGAGACTTCATCTTATGACCAGTCTTATTTATAAGCCTACATACTTTATGGGAGCTGCCAGACTGAATGGCAAAGGCTACATTAGCAGGGGTGGACATCATAGCATGTCCCGAGGACTAGAAAATGCTGCTGGTCATCCTGGCACCCAAACACCATTATTTTTATACCAAACTGGCAAGAGCTATAACCCGATATCAAATTCATGCTCCATAAATGTACACCTTAGAAATCTAACACACCTGTACACCTTGAATAAGTTCATGGATGTGCAAATGGAGGCCAATCAGCAAAACAAAAGTCCCATGTGTATGCTGCAGATGGGCACCACAAAAAATCCAAATCAAGGCAATGTTTTTCACTCTTGAGAGGGTACCCATCATCAAAATGTGAAGATGATGGGAATGGCACATGTAGGATTATTGTCTCTAAGAGACATTACCAAGAACAACAATGGTTAAGTGGTGGCTGCAGATGCAGTAACATAAAAAGGCTATGCCAACTTTTTTCCAAAAGTTTTTGAATGGCCTTCATTTTTTTAATATTGATATCATCCACAGCTTATATACTTTGCTGTCCAGATGGCCTGAAAGCTCTCCACAGTTTGTACCCACCACACGACATCTTGAAGGGTACAAAGGATGTGTTGTAAAAGTCCCATGGGCTTCAGTTTTTCCACAGAAATTATATTTTGACATTGAACCTTTCATAAGAAACATTTTATTTATAAAAATAATAAATTCAGCATTGCTTATAAAACGCCTCTTTCTAACTTAATTAAATTAATAATTAACTTAATTAAATTACTAACAGATTTAGAGAGGTTAAAATGGCATTAAGATTTAAGCAAACAAAATATTTACTTGGCTTAAAATATTTGCATTAAATTAAAATTTAATACCATTTCCATCATTTATAGTTTTAAAAATGTTTTTTTTATTGTTCATTATAATAGTTTACATGTGATTTTTATTTAAAAAATAATTTTAAATCTTTTCATTTGTTAAAAGTTGCATCTTTAATTTTTCTTAAATTTAAATATTTAAATTTTTAGTCTTTCATACCTTGGAATTACTATTGTAGATGATAATTGTGCTTGATTTATGAATGTGCATGAGCAGATATTAGTGTCTAATATTACCGTACATGCCGTCAGATAGAAGTCCATGAATATACTGAGAAGTCAGTACAATAACTTACTAATTAATCATCCATTTATTTATATGGTAATATTACATAAATTGGTGATGAGATAAGTGATCAAAGACAGCATGTTTTTGTGAATAATTTTTTAAGATTTTTTATGATAATAAAAATCCAGTTGCAAGCACAAATATAAATGAATTGTGTGAACAAATTAAACATGACAGATTAAAATAAAATACTATGAGCTTAAATATTTGTTAAATGAATACATACCACAATTGGATTACATTAGTAAGACAGATTTCCAGAAGCAGGTGTGTGTTAGTCACGTAGATGATCAGTTTCAGGCTGACATCATTGAGGTGCAAGAATATCACATATATAACACATTTTGACAGTGATAAAGAGGTTTTTTCATATACACTTGGGCAGAAAAAGTGAAAACAAAAGTGTGACAACATACATGACACTTTTAGAGATACCATTAATGTAAGAGATCCTGTTCGATGAGGGAAGAGAATTTGCAACTGAGGTGTTTAGGAAATATTGGGAAAAAAATACTGTATACTTTCCCTTATTGAGACAAAAAGTGTCTGTACTGGAAGAAATTTTTGCAATCAAACATTTAAGTTTAGGAGACCCTGTAGTAAAGAAACTGGAAGCTTAAAGGGAGAGAATACAGAAAGAATATTTTGTGGAGGATTTATCTCTATATGACATAAAACATGATGTGTTCAAAGCTAGGAAAATTTTGAAAACTAAACGAATAAAGTTTTATGAAGAGCATATAGATTTTTTGTGACATTTTGAGGAAGTTTTTATTATCAATGCCTGATAAGGATAATGATAACAACACATGTGTTCATCACAGAATAAGAAACACCAACTGAAATCAAATGGATTGATAGTATTTAGAGTATATTTGATATATAACACAAATAACTTCGTAAAGAAATAAGAAATAATTAAAAGTTGGGAATAGTATAGATTACAAATCAGATGTTATTAAGAATTTCAATTTAAAAACTCCTATAATTATTGCTATAATATGATACGCTAAGGCTGTATAATATTTTTGAAGAATTTAGATCTACACATTTAAACTGCTACAAATAAAATCCTGAACATAAGTGAAATATAACTCATTCTAAATTAAAACTTGCCGGGACATATTTCAAATCAGAAATAAAAATTAGAATGATATATGTAGTAACAAAAAAAATAGTTGATGACGGAAAACAATTCATAAGAAAAATCTTGCATAGCTTATTTAGATATAAACAGTCTATTTGGATGTCAATTAATGCCAGTATACTTTAGATCAACAGTAGATAAAACAGATTTTGGAAAGTACAATTCATTGAAAAGATGATGCTGAGTTTGGTGAAGTTTTAGAATTGATTTAAGATATCTCTACAATAGTAATTAAAAGATGTGTGTAATTATGTGTGATATGATTTTTAACATAGCTCTAACAATTTTTCTGTCATATCGCTACAATGTCTGCAGTGTGGCAGTTTATAGTGGTGTTCAGCACTGAGGCATCATGCTGCAGACATGTAGCATGATGTCCCACCCAGTCACATTATCCTGACACCATGACAACCAGTCCTAACACTAACCTCTTAATGCTGAGCATCAAGTGAGGCAGCTGTTAGTACCATTATTGTAAGTCTTTGGTATGACTCAACTGGGGATCAAACCCATGACCTTCCGCATCTGAGGCGGATGCTCTAACCACTAGACCACGGGATCGGTTTAATTAAAAGATGAGAATTATAATTCAAGTAAAAATATAAAATTATTACACACTCATAAGTAAAAATGTACAGAAATTTAAGTTATACATCAATGTACAAAGGATACATATAAATATACAATATTATCTGCTTAAAATTGAGGTTCATAATCCTATATTGAATTAAATACCATTTTAAAACAGAAATAAAACAATGATTTTAAAAAAAGAAAGCTTTAAAGTTATGAAGCATGTAGTTTTTGGAAAACATGAAAAATCCAAGAAAGTGAACTAAAGTGTAAATATGTTTGAATTAAAATAATTGAAACTAAGAAAATAAGTAATTTAAGACTGGAATTATAATATCATAAAGATATAGTGTCAGTAAGTCTGCAATGGTTTTGCATTATTAGAAAAAAAGCAAATGGCTGATGTATATTTTGCGGTGATAAAATAAAGCTATTAATGATTGACACTGATTCTTTATGTCTGCATTAAGAAACAGCTTTTATGCAGATATGAAGAAGAATAGTGTTTTGACACAAGTAACCACAAAATATTTGACATCCCACAGGTAAAAAAACATGACATTAATTTTTAAAATAATTATTAATGGGGTTTCTCATACTAGGATTTAGTGGACTTACAACAAAACAGATGTAGAAAGAAAATAAATTAAGTAACAGTCAAACAATTTAAAGTTTGAAATGTACAAAGATTGTGTATTTTACTACACTATAAATCACCAAGAGGTGAATTTACTTAGATCCTACCATCATGAAATATAGAATATTACGTTAAACAATGTTGCATTGGGTTACCATGGCAACAATAGATAATTATTGGATAAGACAAAAACACTTCCATGTGGTAACTCTCACTTTTAACATAGCTTTAACAGTTTTTGAGTCGTATCACTATGATATCTTTAGTGAGGCAGTTTATAGTGATGTCTGGCACTGTGACATCATGGCACAGACATGTAGCATTAAGTCTCATGCAGTCACGTTGTCCTGACACCAGGTTGACCAGTCGTAACACTGACCTCTTAATGCTGAGCACCTAGCAAGGCAGCTTTTAGTACTGTTTTTATAAGTCTTTGGTATGACTCAGCCAGGGATCAATCCTGTGACCTCCCACATCTGAGGCAGAAATAAATAAATAAATTAAATAAATAAAATATGAACCTGTACTGTCCCATCATGTTAAACATATGGTCATTGATCATATTAGCTTTTCACTTGTGCTCACAGTACCATATTAATGTTGATCCTATGGACTAATGTTAAATTCTCATTGTGCCTATGGTCACAAGTCAAAATGGCATCCGTAAAGTTTCCTTGTGCCTATATTGCCAATTTTGTACTATATTCATATTAGTCCGACTTCTACTATGATAGCACTAATTAAATACTATGATACTACTATGATAGTATTTAAAGTAGATGGTTATGAAAGGGTGATAGTCATATACTGTCAGACACATCTTAGTTAAGTGGTATTTTCCAATTTGTTTGAACACATTTAATTGTTTGGATACTTCTTGACAGATCTCATGATCTGTTGATTAAAAGCTTAGCATAAAGTTGAAAGTAAGTCCTAAGCTTCATAAGATTTTCTTCATAGAAAAAGTCTCAAAAGTTTTGTTTGTTTTGTTTCTGAGTGCAATAACTTGAGACTTATCAGGGATTTCTTTCATTTCAAAGTCTGAAATCACATTACAAATTGAGGTGAGCAAAAGTAACTGTGTTGTCATTGGCTATGTTGATCAGAATCATTTATGATACAGCTGTGGTTTAATTTGTAAAAAAATATCAATCCAAGAATTGATTCCTGAATTACACTTTATATATATTTATACATAAGCTAGTCATGCTTCCCATTTTGATATGCTGTCTTATATTTGAGAGGTAATCTACCAGGGGTTTAATGCCAAATCTGCAAGTACATACAATGACAGTTTCAGGATGAAAAAATTGTAGGGTTAACAGTTCAATGCTTTTGATAAATCCCTACAAATACCTGCAGCATAAGTTTTTATCTGGAATTAAGTGCAAGTATCTACAGGTATCATTAGGTCTATTTGTTGACTAAAACATTTTCTGAAAGCAGAAAGGTATGGGTGTAAGATATTGGCAAAGTAGTGATTGGGTCACAAACAGCTCCCTTAAGGAGTTTGTATTTGATTGTGTGAACATTAACTGGACTGTAGTATTATTTGTCAAAGGGGATCATTCTTATAAATTGGGACAACCTGGGGGTTCACTGAGCTTGGATTGGAAACTGTTCTCTAGTTTATGAATTTGTTATAAGACCATAGTCTTAATAATTTGGATGAACTAAGATCTATCCCAGCTACCTTGATTTTTGTTACTTATACTTTATATGCTTTAGATGTAAAGACTTCATTCACATGTTAGAAATAAAGTTATTTAACATAAAAATGTATCTTTCTTGTCCTGGTTGCACAAGTTTTTTCTGATTTCCTGCATGGGGCAGTAATCAGGACATTTCTGGAATATTTCTGGTTCTCTTTAACAGTTTTCTCTTGTGTAGTACTGGTAGTATTTGTCTTGAAAGACCACTGCTATGAGACCACCTGTCTTGAGAGACCATCTTCTTTATGTACAGATTTATCAATTATATTATGACCTGTTATGAGAGACCACCTGTCTTGTGAGACCATATTTGTCATAAGGAGTGATCTATCAAAACAGGTTCTACTGTAATGGCATAATATCCAGCAAACAAAAGGAAAAAGAAAAAGGAAAACATCCAAATATATAATTATTATATGCATAGAAAATGTGTATTTTTTAGTTCTGTGTCTGTTGCCACTTTAGTGTTAGTATTATCCATGATTCAGTGATACCCTATCAATTAATAATAAAAATTAAATTTAAAAAAACCCCGAAAACTATACAACAGAAAAAAACCTAACAGTCATTTTTTCAATCCAGTTTTTCCAAATTAATTACTAATTGATAACAGGCTGACCTTGAAAGTACATAACAAATAATTGAAGGGCATTTCCAATTAAGTCATATGGTGAAAGTTTATTTCATCAGGTCCCTAATTCTTTGTTTTTAACATATGCTGTGCTAATGCACAATGCTCCACAATATAGTTAATGCTGTGTGAGGAACTGGTGTAATGTTGTCACAAACTATTCCTATTATTTATAAAATAAATAAGTTTAGTTTTATAATAAAGACCTGAAAATACATTATCTGCAGTAGACTATGCTAAAACACATTATCCATAGTTGGCTGTAGAACATAAACTCATGCAATTAATATTATTGTGGTAGTGGCCTAATAGCTCTAATTAGGCAAGAAGCTTGTGCACTTCATGATACCTGCAATGGGTCTGTATAAAGCAAGCATATGCAATGTAAACTTTTGGCAGACATGGCAAAATTACTATGGACAGGAGCTAAAAACTGGACATTTAGAGTGTCTACATTAAGGTAGGAAATTTCTTTATTGTGTTGATTAATACTGAGAAATGTTTTGCAGCTGGAAATTATACTATTGGGAGGTAAAGCCCCATTCACAAGAATTACCACATAATTCACTACCCAGTGAGGAATCCAAAGAAAGGTGCACCTGCACAGTGAAGGAGTCATTGGAGAGTGTACTTAAACAGTAAAGAAGCCATTGGAGAATGTACTTGTACAGTACAGAAGTCATTGGAGAGTGTACTTGTACAGTAAAGAAGTCATTGGAGAGTGCACTTATACAGTAAAGAAGCCATTGGAGAGTGTACTTATAGAGTAAAGAAGCCATTGGAGAGTGTACTTGTACAGTAAAGAAGTCATTGGAGAGTACACTTATACAGTAAAGAAGCCATTGGAGAGTGTACTTATAGAGTAAAGAAGCCATTGGAGAGTGTACTTGTACAGTAAAGAGCCATTGGAGAGTACTTATAGAATAAATAAGTTATTGGAGAGTGTACTTATACAGTAAAGAAGCCATTGGAGAGTGTACTTGTACAGTAAAGAAGTCATTGGAGAGTACACTTATACAGTAAAGAAGCCATTGGAGAGTGTACTTATACATTAAAGAAGCCATTGGAGAGTGTACTTATAAAGTAAAGAAGCCACTGGAGAGTGTACTTGTACAGTAAAGAGCCATTGTAGAGTACTTATAGAGTAAATAAGCCATTGGAGAGTGTACTTGTACAGTAAAGAGCCATTGGAAAGTATACTTGTACAGTAAAGAGCTATTGGAGAGTACTTATAGAGTAAAGAAGCCATTGGAGAGTGTGCTTGTACAGTAAAGAAGCCATTGGAGGGCGTATATAATCAATAAATTCAGTGTGGAAACACTAGGAAACATTAATTTAAAGAGTAGACAAATACTTATGAATAGTTTAATTGCAGTTCTTTTCCTTACTATTGTGTAACATATTTTTCTCTCTATCCATCATAATCATCTACTTAAATCATTTTAATTTTGTGTGTGTTATCTCTATATTCTCCAAGTAGCATTCCAACCATCCATTCATCTGTTCTGTCACAAACATCTATAGTACAGACCCTGACAAAATTGTTCAAATATACATGTATACTTTTTTCAGACATCTTGTCTCGCGTGTTGTGGCTACAGTGTGTTTAAACAATTGGGAAGACATTATGACCAAATAAGCTTAGTCAGCAACATCTCTATTGATCATCCAACAAAGTACAAAATTTGACCATATCTCCTTTAAATTATGCTTAGTCAGCTAAACCCATAGCGACTGTCCAACAATGAAACAAATTGTAAATTAAACCAAGTAGCTTTGAAATGTATGTTGTTGTGGTGGTGGTGTTTTTGGTGGGTGGGGCTGCAGTTTAATGGATAAATAAATCAAAGATGAGCTTTATTTGAACTTTAGGGAGTAGTTGGACAGAAAATGGAGAAGAGCTGAACAGGGACAAGTGAAAGCAAGATATACACACACAAACATACATACACTCATATACAATGTTTTCATTCTCTTATTTGAATTATGTACTCTACTTCTGTTTGCA